GTCGTTGGAAAAACAACTGTTTTAAAGGCAGCGGGTTTAACTTACACGTAATTGACGTGAGCAAACTACTTTGTTTGCAACTCACGTAAACGTATGAGATTCGTGCGAACATGCAGATATATAAATAACTTAGTTCTTTCTCGTTAGATTATGCAGTAGCATGCGATTTATCTGAAAGATTTAATCATGTTTTATGTCAGTAATCTTCAGTATTTATCTACATAATCTGATTTTCAGGCAGGATATCTTAATATTAATATATTTTATTTAGTTATTTGTTGATAGCCATTGATTTCCTGAGAATCTTTGTGAGTACTGTCAGCAGAGCTTCAAGCAACGTACACTTAAAAAATCTGGGAACGAACAAGTGAGCATGTACAGTGCCTGCTTTGTGTCTACATTCAGCAGTCAGGGATAAAATTGAGCAACAATGAAAAACATTCATTGGAATATTCTTTGAAAAATGGGCGTTAATGCTTATGACTGTTTGCTCTTTTATAAGAAATCCTTTCGGTTGGAAATACTTCGATGGAAATATTAACCTTCTACCGACCAACAAGAAATTGCCTGGAAGCTGACGCTCATCCTTTAGACCAACTGGCAAGTTTTACTGCTCGGCCTGACGTCTTGAGTATGATCGCCTTCAATGCTCCATTCAGTGGGTAAAGTTCAATATACGCAGGTGGTCAGTCAGTCAGTGTATTTGAGGAAAAATGGGTTTGCGCCTTTGAACTCCCTTTTTGTCACATGAAAATCTGAAGAATTAAATATAATGTGGAGCATATTTTAACTCAAATAAGTGTAGACAGGGTCACGCAGTACATTGATGTTTCGAGGTTAATAACTCACATGGCTCACGTTTTGCTGCAACGCAGGGATATTAAGTCGGTGTTTCCACAGATTGGGACTTTAACAATCGCCTCAGCTAGGTTATTCCACGAGTCCGCGACCAGGTTAGAGAAAAAATTACTTCATCACATCTGGAAACTTCTATTATAATTCCCGTTTTTAAATCTGGTTCCCGATCAGATATTCACAGTTATCG